TATCAGAAGAATTCAGCTAATTTTTTCCTCCCCATTTTTCCTGAGCCCTTGGCTGTGACTGGGCTGGGGCAGGAGACGACTCTCGTCAGTCCGAGGGTTGCTGGGCTCTGGCTGAGCTGGGCTGAGCCTCGAGCCCTCGGAGCTTACTTCACGCTTTATATTTCTTTTCAACTGAGAATCTTGTTGCACTCTGTCTGTAACCACAGCTTATTTCTCAGCTAAACACACTGTAAACTCTTATTCTCTTTCTTCTCTTCCATTTTTTCCTCTCCTCCCTCCCCTTTTCAGTTTTTATTTTTGTTTTTATTTTTCTCTTTAGCTTTCATTCTTTGGTCATAGTCCTTCAGGCCACACGCAAAAGGTAAGCCCTCGGATCACCTCTGGTCTCCCCTCTTCTTCTTATAAAGCATCAGAGCCTTCCCCTTGCTGCTCCAGCTTCTGCAGTATTGAGGGGGTCTCCTGGGTGCCCCAGATGACCCCAAAATGGAAACCTCTAAAGCCACTGCTCCTTCTCCCTGCACGGCTGGACTGTCTGACGCTCACAGCTGGATTAAACCCCTTGCATTAGCTTGTCCTATCTTCAGGCTAAAAACCCAGAATGGTTGGCAGGGTTGGGGGGGACATGTCATTTACAAATGTGTGTTTCTCCCAGCATCATGCCTTTGGGCCCTAGATATTGCCCAACCCCACCTTTTTCCCATTTAAATAGGAGATAAAATGCCAATCTGTTTGTGCTTCCAGAGATGGTAGAAACTGCCAGGTCATGGATGGCACTGAGGGGAACGTTCCCCGTTAGTCATCAAAGTCAACAGAGTACAACACAAATCCTTATCAGTTGTACAATTCAAACAGATAGTTATAAATATAAACCTTACAGAAATTTCGTGCATGTTATTTTTGCCCAGGTATACTTTTTTTTTTATCCATGTGTTTTGTTTTGGTTTTTTTTTTGTTTCAGCCTACTGAGGAAGCTGGAATTGCTTCTACTGTTACTAACAGGAAGACAGCACTGATGCCCAAGACAGAGAAAGAGACATTGCCGTTTCAAAAACCCCAAATATCTCCCCAAATATCTCTCATATTTTGCTACTGGTGATGGAAGATGCAATCTTTCTGACCCTTTCAGACTGAAGCTGAACTAGGGAATATGGAAATTTCTGCACAGGTGGTGTCTGCACCACTGAAACCTCTGACTGAGCATTCTGAAAAGCTAGAACGAAGCCGACAAAGAAGAAAGCCAAAAACCCCCTCCCTCTCCTACAGCCACAGGCTCCTTTCCGGAGTCCCGGCTCTGCTGCTTGAACTGACTTTCAGTGGGAGTCCTGGCTCTGCTGCTTGAAATAGCTCTCAGCTTTACGTAAGGAGCAGTATACTAATTCAGATAAACTGAATATATTTTGGTTCCCTGCTAAGCAGGTAGTAAATTGCTTCTCTGTAGAAGTGACCATGTCCTGTTTTATATGTCACGCATTTATATTTGTTATTCATAGTTATTTAAAAATCTGTCTTGAAAGAAGATTTTAGGAAGAGTTCCAGAGGAGCAACTCACAAAAAGATAAATGTGAATGAAAATGAAGTGTTTTGTTCCGAGGTATTTCTTCATAACACAGGGTATGTCCAATGGTTGGTTGAATATCCCGCAAGCCCAGTTTTAGGGAAAAACGTGAAGCTATGTTTGAACCCTTCAAGAAATGAAATTGTAATTTGGGGGGGAATTTTCAGTAGACCGTGGCCCACAGCGTGATGAGAAAAATGGCACAATAATTTATAATTTGCTGTCACTAAATGATGACAAAAGACTTAACATTGTCCCAGTAAAAAGTTCAACCTGGAAAAGAGTGAACGGAAAACACATCATCCTTGATCTGCATGCTCTGGGCTGGAGGAGGCAGCAAAAGGGAACAGGAGATTTTATCACCTTGAGGCAAGGGAGCACCAGTACCACAGAGCCCGAGCCCAGGAGGCTGGCACAGGAGCGGGGAAGGAAAAAAGGATCCTCTAGGAAAACAGGTGAAGGAGGGAAAATCCGGAAGAAATCCCACCAGTGTGAGTCACCAAATGGGAACTGCGGCCGAGCGCACAAACCTGGGGCATCGAGGAAGGGCAAGAACAAGCTCCCGTCCACAGCTTTCCATGGCTGCGGTGTCACGAAGGTCCCCGAGGCCCAGGATGCAGGCGGGAGCTGCCTGTCCCTTGGAAGCACGAGGCAGGAAGCAAAACCAGAGCTCCGGACAGGTAAGACTGGTTAGCTGGAAACCAATTTATTATATTACACTATGCAACTTCCTTTACACAGCTGTTAGTCCCTCTTGCTCAAGTTAAAATGTTTCTGATAATAATGCAGAGAAAATTTTGAAATTACCAAAGACTTTATGAAAACATTATTTACTTATCTATCTCTCTTTTACTTTAGTAATTTAAGTATTGAATTTCAGTATGATATAATCACAAATGCTAACTTTATTTCTTTAGCTCAGTGGTCACTCCTAACAAAGAAGTACTAGGTAGGTACTGAAATGCATGGTCAAATTTGTACGAACAGCAAGCACTCATGCTGCTTTAAAAATGTGTATGTTAAATGCAATGGATGGAAATAATTTTCATTTTGGATTGAAAAGACAAATAGTATTCAGAAAAGTATTTTAATTCATTATTTTTTTTTTCTTTTTTTGCACTTTTGTTTCCTAATTTACCTTGGTAATGAGTTACTTGGCTGGTAAACATGAGGGGGACTGTAGCAGTGGTCACCCTAGCACTGCCTGAAGCTGTCTTTTTTCAAGAATATTTAAGAATATGGGGAAATTAAACAGGGGACCAGAACCCAGATAGACTGTTGACGAGAAATCACTGCTACCGCAGTCTGCGGGAGTTTGTCATGCCCAGAAAGACTAGTGCTCTCTGGACTCCGTTATCTCTCTCCCCGAATGAGGGAAAATACTCAAATCTCAAAAAAACAACAACTTGGGATAGAACTCTTGTTTTCCAGTCACTGCTGTGGCTAATGCTCAGGATAACTCAGTCAGCAGGCAAACCAACAGGCAAGTCGGAGCACTCGTGATGGTGCTTGGAGGCCGTTTCTTTTTTTGGTTTTGTTGGGGCTGTCCCAGTACTTGTTAACGTCATACTTACACCTAGTGCTTCTCACAGGACTTGTTTCTGCTTTAAAGGAGGATTTGTCTCTCTCTACTTCATCCCATCAGTTTTCTTCTCTTTTCTTCCCCCTCAAATAGTATTTCTAAGCAGAATGTCTATCAAATCTGAATTTGAACATCTCTTGGATCTTAAGGTGTTTGGCTGCAGGTCATTGATTTGCTGCTCTAGATAGGATTGCTGCTTTTAAAGTCAATCTGACATAGGATGTCTACATACAGAGGGGTGCATACAGGGAGTCTTGGGAATTAGTTGTCTTACATGGTGCTCACTGAGGTAATCTGTGCTCAGGGTTAGATTCGATGATGCCCGCTCTTCTTCAAAACTTGCAGTTGTACATCTCAGCCCTGCTAGTTTTTGGAGAGGGGTCCAAATCCTTTGTGTCTGTCAGTGTCACGCCAGCCTCTGAGGGGCTGGTGTTTCCTGGGCAGTAAGATCAAGGAGATCTATGTGTTTAGTAACCCAAAAAAGAACCTTAATGCAGTCAAAGGAGGCAAATCATTTAAATCAAGAAATGGCTGAGATGAGTATGTGACAATGGGAGGGCTTTTTAAAAATAAGAACAGATTTACAAAGGTGGCAAACTGAAACCAAGAAGAAAGACTTACCCAAGTCTTTCTTTCATGTGGGACGTGGCGTGAGCCTTTCCGGAAGCGTTGGCCGGAGGGTGGTCAACCTCCGGGTCTCAGACTGCTCCACCTTGCTACGTGGACATGTGCTAAAGCAAACATTAAGTGCATGGGGTTGGCAAACCTATAGACTCTGAGTTGATAGATCTTAATGTGTGCTTATTATTGGAGGCTTGCAGGATGATACCGTTATTACACCCTCAACACACCTACACACCCATGTTTCAGGAGCGCTCGTGTGCAGCGGGAATCGCACCGCGGCACAATCTCCCAGCAAAGGCGGGGGCTGAAGCGATGGGTGGGAGCTGGTGCGGAGGAGGCTGCAGGGGGGCTGCACCCCAGCCTTTCCCAGCGGGGTGCTCGGTGCAGCCTGGGATGTGCTGGAATGTGCTCCGGAGAAATGGGAAAGGAAGGGAGAAGTATTGAATAGGGATCACAGGCTGTGAGTGACACGGGGTGCTGGGGGCAAGGCAGGACAGTGGTGTCAGAGTTGGCACCGGCGCAGGAGGCCAGTTGAGGTCAAAGTGCCTTTTTTCTGGCTTTTCTTAGTTTATGACTGCTTAACTACTCAGCATACTTTTAACAACATTTTGATATAAATATGTGTTTGGATAAATACATATAGATGTGCAGGCACAGAGAAAGTTGCGGTTTCAAGTATTTTATAAAAGTATTATTCATGCACCAAATTTATGCATTAATGATGCACCAAATTTAAACTTCACAACAAGATTAAGCGGTCCTGTTGGGTTGAACTTAACCGCAGCCAGAGCGCGGCTCACCCCCACCCCGCCGTACAGGGCGTGGGGCAGCGGGGCTCGGCAGAACCGGGGGAGCCCGGGGGTGCCGAACCGCAGAGAGACCCGACGGCAGGGTCAGCGGGATCAGTCACTGCAGGGTGCTGCAGGCAAAAGGAAACTGGAAAGAGGGCGTGCCGT